CAATATTGCTGTATTTGTAAATAATAATTCTGCAAAATATAAGTTAACGTAATGAAACAGTAATTAATTCGAGCCCACTGAATTCACAATATTTCCTTAAGGAATTTAATCCCCTCCTAGTACCCAAGGTAATGGATTATTTCCTCTCGGGATAGAACGAATCATACACTGGTGTAGCGGTACTTCAAACCCCAGTGTTTCAGCGAACACAAAGTTCGGTAGCAAATCACACTTACAGTTGCTTTGTTTGAAGTTAAAACAATGCAGAACGAAGGAGTAGAAACTCAGAAAATCGTATGGAAATGCTGAGAGGAAGGAGTGCAATGTATAGCCAAATCTGTTGAGCGATTTTAGTCTTGTGTATTGTGTGTCTTTCTTCAACAGCTGCTGCACATATATATAGCAGCCAGTGTTGAAGAAGAACAATCGTCCATCCTCCATGGTGAAGCAAACATTAGCTTGTTTGTGGAGCAAGCACAATCATGGTGGGAAAAGCATTAGGCGGCTGCCTTGTGGTCAATACACGGATTGGAAAACATCCGTTATAAATGCGGATAATCTTACGTTAATATTTACTATTAACAAATAAATTTGGTCCAAAAAATTAATCAATCAATCGATCATTTGACCAAATCCAAATCCAAATCCGAAGCCGAAACAAATTGCATTAAAATGCGGAGGATTACCTCTAGCAATTACTGTGATTGCTGGACTTCTCTCCAAAATTGGTAAAGCATTGGATGAGTGGCAAAGTGTTGATGAGAAAGTAAGTTCAATGATAAGCACTACTGATGTTGACGTCCAATGCATGAGAGTGCTTGCTTTGAGTTACCATCACTTACCACATCACCTAAGAGCATGTTTTCTATATTTTGCAATCTTCCCAGAGGATGCAGAGATTTATGTCGATAAACTCTTGGTATTATAGGCAGCGGAGGGATTTTTGAAGGTAGAAGAGATGAAAAGCATAGAAGAAGTGGCAGAAAAATGTCTAAAAGATCTAATAGATAGAAGTTTAATTTCCATCCAATATTTGACAGGTGATGGACGTATCAAGTTGTGTAGAATGCATAATGTGATCCGGGAACTCTGCTTCAAGAAAGCTCGAAACATGAATATTGTGAATTTTATTGGAGAAAAGAATGATCAAAATTCATGTGCACAATCCATGCATTTGTCCTCAAATAGTAGAGGTCGGACCAGTAACCAATTGAACTATAGTAAGACATCTTCTTCCTTCAATTTAATTCTTATATCATTCATTTACTTTAATTCTTTTTTTCCTATTTTACCCTTAATTTAATTGTTCTTGATGAGTACAAATACGTCAATTATGAGTAAACATTAAATGAAGAGAGGTTATATTTTAAGACACAAATAAGGTTAAAATAGACAAAAACCTCTCCTATTTAATATTTCCTTAAGGGGAGAAAAATAATAATTTGAGACGGAGGGAGTACATATTAGGGGAAACTACTCTTAATAATTGTTTTTGTTGGATCCCCTTATTCATTCATTAACTGAATTTTCTGTAACCATTTCAATCAGAAGTCGTGTTAAATGATGTGAGTTGTAATGAAATTAAATTTTATTTATTAAGTCACAGTGTAACAGGGTTTGATGTAAATTTTATTAAGTATTTTATATTTTAATTTCGAAAATGATCTTTTAATTTGTTCTGACCAAGTTATTGTACATAACTGTACTTGATTCTATCGTCCCCGGCATTTGCTTCTTTTTTTTCCTTCAAAAAAGAAAAAACATCAGATAGGTAGAAAAACATCCTTCATGATTTTATTTATTTTTTGCTACTTAAATCAGCTCGAGATATTGAAATTTTGGATTAAAAAGTTCTCTTATATAACAGGGGTCCGCGCTCAAACATAAAGAGGAAGAGGAAGAGGAAGAGGAAGAGGAAGAGAAAGACGACGAAGATGTTATTGCTACAGTTGCTCTGATATTTATTTGAGCCGCTAAGTTTAATTATACATTTTCCCTACTATATAATCATTTTATGTATAAATAGAAATAGTTTTTGTAATCCAAACTACGCATTTCCAAAGTAAGTGTTAAGTTTTTTTAAAAGATAACATACAATTGAATTACAAGCCATCGAAATTCATCCAACCCCCATGCTAAAAATTTAGAAAGGAAAGAGATGGCCACTCAAACATGTGACTTTTGAATCGATATTTCTTTCAGAGAATAACTAATCTTCGAAACACCTTGAGGTCATGACCGTTTTATCCTGCAGAGAAATAAAAATCAAATCATGTCCCCAAAATTAAATAACAATAGAAAATTATAACAAGCACTGCCATACATGTATACAAAGTTTACATATCTATGAACAAGAGCTATTACTATCTTATGTTGCTTGTGTTTTGATTTTTCTAATATCTTCTTGTTGTTACTGTTTCCCTGACTTTCATACTACTGTAGTGATTATGCATGCTTGTCTTGAGCCGAGAGACTATCGGAAACAGTCTCGCTACCTGCATAAGGTTGGGGTAAGGTTGCGTACTAACTATTCTCCCCAGACTCCACTTGTGGGAGTTCACTAGGTATGTTGTTGTTGTTTTTGTTGTATATCTGAACAAGAGAAAATTATAGCAAACATTGACATGCATATATGAAAAGTTTACATATTGCTCACTACTGGGACAACATACTAAGAGCCATAGACATTTAAGACTTAAGAGTATTGTTAATGTTAGAAGCTAACCTAAGACACAAGAGAATGCAAAACAGTAAAAACTTAAGAAACACACAAGAAAGCAGCAAAGAAATGGTGTCTGGCTCCTATATTTCAACTACTATAAACATCAAAAGCATATGAAATTTAGTGGAATGTTCTGTTGAGATGGTATATGTCTTTCCACTTTCTACCACAAAGGAAGTTTTCACACCAACTGCACATAATTGTCCTTATAAATAAATAAAGCAGTATGCTAATCACAAGTGAACCATATGAAAGTATAGAAAGGAGTTGGTTTTTGTTTATTTATGTTATTTTCTTCTATATATCGATATTCCATACAACAGCTAGTCCTTTAATCAAACTGAACATAGATTAAACAAAGTAAAATATTCTTGGCCAACCAAGGCTTAGCCTTAACATATACTCTATAATTTAGACACACAAATAGTACTTGTACAAGCAACAATTAAATCAAGGAAGATCATTTCTTACAATTAGCCTAATGGATATGGACCTCAATAGAAATTGCATAGTTATCTTGCATGTCCTGTTGAATCTGCTTGGCGGAATTCTCAACAGATTTTGCACACCTCCTTATATCAATTAGAGCAAGTGTGGTTATATCTGCAAAATTTTGAGGGATTGAATCCAAATACCAACAACCTTTGAGAAATAGTCGTTCAAGGAAAGGAAAATTATCGCAACTGGCTCTCCAGTGCCTAATCTCCAAATCTTCGAGGAGCAAGAACTTCAAGCGAGGAAATACTTCATCAAATACTTCCCACTCCTTGTCTAGGAAAGCATCATATCCAAGTTTAAGGGACTCGAGTTTAGGCAATTTACCAAAAATGCTCAAATCCTTCCAACGAAAAAAAGTGCCACTAAAAGCTAAATTCTTTAGGTTTTGTGGAAAATCATTTGGATGAGGTAGCCGAAAAGGTGCAAAAGCATCTTCTGTATTAAATAAAGGGGGAGTATGAAGCCTCAAACGGCCTTCTTGATGTGTAGTTCTATCCAGAAAGCAACCAAAACGCGGATAAGTAACACAAAATTCCAATTCCTCGAGCTGATCTAAGTTGCAAAAATCAAAGAGTGCATAGTGATTAATAAAGTCTTTTGGGATTCCACGTATTTGCAACTTCTTTAAGTTGGGAAATAGTCTAAAGACAGAGCCAGTACAATACCAAGGATTCCATCCAGACAGACACTGCAAATTTTTCAGAACCAAACTTTTCTTTGTAGGCTTGTAAGACTGCAAGTAATTCCAATCTAAAAAGAGGTGCCTCAATTGTGGTATCGCCAAAATTTCCGATGGTAATATGAAAGGAAAGACCAGGTCTTTGGAAAAAGGAAGGTAAAGTTTAAAAGTTTGCAGATAACATAGGCTAGATATCAGTGGAGGAATGACTGTTGTTGAGGGAATCTCTTTTCCCGACTCCAAGTGAGGATAAAGAGTCAAAGCAAGGTATCTCAAATGAATTAAATCAAGTATCCCCCTCGGAAAAGTACTACATCTCACTAAAGCAAGATCTAGTACTCTTACTAGCTTGAAACGCAACGACTTTTGCACGAACCAATGCCCTCTAAAACAGATAATAGAACGGGCATCTTTTTCAGGATATATAGCCAATTTTGCCTCAATAGAATCGTCTGGATTGTTCAATTGGATACTGATCCGACTTCGACTCCTCGAAAAATGCATCAATTGCGCACAAGGATTTCGATCATTCTCTTCTCCAATAACATTCACAAAATTCATGTTGTGAGCTTCCCTCAAGCATAGTTCACGGATCAAATCATGCATTCCACAACTCTCGATTTTTCCATCAAAACTCAAATTTTGGATTGAAATTAAACTTCTATCTATAAGTTCTTTTAGAAATTCTCCCCCCACCTTTTCTATGTTTTTCATATCTTCTACCTTGAAAAATCCCTCTACCGCCCATAACTCCACAAGTTTATCGACAAAAATCTGTTCATCCTCTGGGAAGATTGCAAAATACAGAAAGCACGATTTTAGGCGATGAGGCAAGTGATGGTAACTCAATGCCAGCACCCTCATGCATTGGACATCAACATCTGTGCTTACTAATGAACTTACATTCTCAACAACCATTTGCCACTCATCCAATGCTTTACCGATTTTGGAGAGAAGTCCAGCAATTACAATAATTGCTAGAGGTAATCCTCTGCAGTTTAATGCAATTTGTTTCCCAAGTTGTTCAAATTCAGGGGGGAAACATTCATTCAGAAAGACCCTTTTGTGCAGTAAATCCCAACTTTCATTGCAATTCAAAAGGCGCATTTGATAAGGAGGCTTACCTGAGCTAGCATATTCAGCCACTTTCACATTTCGAGTGGTCAAGAGTATTCGACTCCTATTGTTACAGTCTGGGAAGCATAGTTTTATATCATCCCAAGCTGCTTCATTCCATATGTCATCAATGACTATCAAATATCTCCTACCTTTTAGAAGCTTTTGAAGTCGGTCCTTTAGTTGCCCATCATCTTGTTGCTCATAAGGTTTATCGGTCTTTCCGGTGATAGAAGACAGAAGGCCTAGGAGTCCATTTCTCGCACAATACTCTTGTGAAATAGTAACTTTTGCACGAATGTCAAAGTGATACATAATGAGTGGATCACTGAAGATTTTGTTAGCTAGAGTTGTTTTGCCAATGCCCCCCATACCTACAATTGAGACAACTTCTAGTTCACTAGCTCCTCTAGCGAGTTGGACCTGCATCATCTCGAATTCATTTTCATGGCCGACCATCATATTCTCGGGCTCCAAAGCACGTTCAGATGTAGAGGCAAGAATCGTATTTTGTGCTTTCAGATCTAGGCTGGTCTGTGTTCCTATCCACTTCTTCGTGGTGGAATCAATGTCTCGTATTGCTTGGTTCAAGAGGGAACGAAGTTTCCCAAAGGTTACTGTTCGTGAAATTATGTTTATAACATTTCTTGATTTCAGGTCAACCATAACATTTCTTGATTCCGAGTCAACCATATCTTCTGTGCTGCATGCTAGCTCTATCACTTCAGCTTCCAATCTTGTCAATGCACCAAGATTGCCTATCTTATTGCATGGTTTCTCCGTAATAGCTATCAAAGATTCAAGCTTTTCATAGAACGATTGCAGGTTAAGTCCAGTAACTTGCATTGATTGTTGTATGGTGCTCATAAGGGAAGTAATAGCAGTATAAGCCATGTCTCAGTTTCTCTCTTTCTCTCGTTTGTGTGTGATAACAATAGGGAGAGTAGAATCTAATTGTGTGACAGTTCCTAATTTCTCAATTTAGAACAGAAAGTGGAAAGGTCTTTCTTTTGTTTATTGAGATCACAAGTTAGCTTCCATCACATTTCCAGCTTGGTCCACTCTCTTGTCTCTATCAACCAACTGGAAGCCCAGCTCTAGTTTTAGTTTTATATACTTACTAATCTGAATAGTCCCAAAAAATATACTTTTCCAGTTTCAATTTAGATTTAGATGATATAGTTTGATTTAGCAGTGCCGTCATTTTGTTAAGTGGTAATTCTTATGTCTCAATTTATGTGACACTTTTCTCTTTTCGAGATCCCAACTTGTTAATTTTGACCGTATATTTAAACAATATCTTTAAACTTTTTGAATAAAATTTACATAATCGAAAATTATGTAAAAAGTATTATAGTCGTAATAATTAATAAAAAGAAATATTTAAATTATAGTCAAAGAACAACTCATTTAACTCTCAAAATCTAAATATTTTCACGTAAATTGAGACGAAGAGAATATTTTCTTTTGACATATAAATTAAATATATGCAAAATACCAATATTCAACTTCTAAATGAGTGGTGGTGGTTCCATTTTTTTTTCCTTGAGACAAGTTACCGACACGGCAAACAGAAAATGTTTAAAAAGGTTGTTGGAAGTCAACTGAGGTGTCTGTTTCAACAAACAAAATTAAAGCCATCTTCTTTGACTGCTTCTCAAGTAAGCAGTTGATTTCTGTACCTGTAGACATTTCTGTACTATCCTATTTTCTGCTCAGCTCCTGCGCTGGCCAAGAAATATATGTGGTAATTCCTGTATTATCCTTATCTTTTTACGTGGAATTATGTTTGTATAAAGCGTTGACATGGTGCGTGATGTTGTCGCCAAGAGTATATCTATTAGCGATTTCAATGGTTCGGTTCGGTCGGTTATTTTATAAAATTTATATAATATCAATTTTTTGGTTATTATATTATGTGTATAATCAAAATTAGACTTTTAGAGACGGTACCAATCATGTCGATTTCTCTTCGACA